GACTACTGAGGGAGCCGCAGTAGCGCAGCCAATGTAGCGACACAGACAACTTCACTTTTTTACAAGATCGCTGTCTTCTGGGATTCGCGTCGAGTAATTTGGTAGTCACATATTTTTTTTAGCCCTAAAGACGGAGACAGTAGTTTCCTCCTAGACGTTTGTTGAGGCATCAGATTCCTCCATATTGATACACATCTAACAGACTATACGGCATAATATCCCCTGTTCGGACTTGAAGAATGAAGCCCCGAAACTTTTCCAAATACCTGTGAGACACTCCAAACTGCTATAAAGAAGATGGAAGATTTCACCGAAACGTAACTATCTATTAAACCACACGACCTCACAATCACTTCTATCCTGCTAATGGAGGCAAGAGGTTCCTCCGAAAGTCTGATACCTATCTGCCAAACAGCACGGCCTCAAAATCCTAGAAGACAGTAATCTTAATGACAATTTCGCTGCCTCGCGATTCGTAGTATACACAATCAGTGAAAGAGTGGCATACAGAACGACAGTAATTGAAGGCATGTCGCTGATTCTTGTTCGTTAATTTAGGAGATAGATCTCATGACTGTCTGACGTAGCTAGCGGTACGTTCAACAGTTTGGGAGGTCTTGGTGGCGAAGACAGGCGTAAAGTCAGGTCGGTGTGTTGGGCCAGAGAGAGAATGCTTACGCGCTGGATGATAACTTAATAGTGTAACCGATTACTACTTTTAGTAATATACTTCGTCCAATTATATATACATTTATATTTTTATTTAACAATTGCATTTTATAAAACTCAAATATGAATTTGAGGGAATTGCGAGAGTTATCACGCGTTATATTACGCTATAAGGCACACAGTAGGTAGCAGATGATGCAATGTGGCGTGATGTCGTAAGTACATTTATCGTCCAGTGGCTCATCTTTGTGTTTGTAATGCGTGACGCAAGCCCCAAGAACATGGCGAGGGACTTTACAGAGGTACTTCCCAACGTATGACCAATGAAAGACGCCTGTTACTATATGATGTCATGCCTAGCGACAGTAATATTGTAACGGGATGTCTTTGTTCGAAGAAAGTCAACGCTTGGCTTTTGGGCCGGACGCATACCAGAAAACCGGCAACCGCTTCGTAACCGCGATTTCCGAGAAGTGTTATCAGCCCGAGTTGAACACATGTTAGTAAATGGGGCAGCGCAAATTGAGGAAACGGCAACGGAGCATGCCAGTCTTCACACGATTGAGTACGAAGGAGATGCCGGGTGGATTCCTAGAAATCAGCTGTTCTAAAACGCGCTACAGTGATTCAGTTGTTGTTAGGACGGCACGAATAGTTGATGAAGCTGCTAATTTGTCCTTGTCCTTACTTGATCGGGAGCCTGGCATATACGGTAAACGCTGTCCAAACTGTGCAAGGCGGGACAAAGTATGTAGATTTGCCTTTGGAAATTTCCCCCCCCCCATGAGATGAAGAAATTAGGCATGTGTGTATGCGTTTATATATATAGTATAACCAAAACTTATAATAAGGTCAAAATACAAAAGATGTCTGCTAAAACAATGCAAATAACTACTACAATGTGACCCGTGCTTTGTGATACAAGTCAGCAGTTTGGTTAGTCCTTATCCTTTAGGGCGGGCGCAACCGGCCACCGCAACACAACTTTGAGAACGCTTTGAGAATACGATCACTGACAGGTCCTGCACATCGTAATTCAAAAGTTGGCGTTTTTCAGACCCACGCTAAGCAGGTTATCCGTCAGTAAATTGTCAAAAAGTACGTAAAGTCTTTAGAGCCTAAATTCCCTATAATCCTTAAGCGGATTGGAGGAATAGTTAATTAAGTGAACTCCTAGATTTCAAAGTGACCAATCCTCGAAATTCAGGGAGTTGACTTGAGGACCGAGAGGAAACAGGCAGGGCTCCTAGTTTTGAGAAGGAGGCAAGTCGCATTCCATCTCGCAAACTATTCGGACGCAAATTCGGTACCAACAAATTGTGATTATAAATTCTAAGTTACAGCATAAGTGAGTAGTTAAACTGGGAGTGTAGATACCTACCGACTAGCCATCCTGCCATATAAGTGCTTTAACGACAAGCAGAGCGATTCTCGAGCAAAGAGAGCAAATTCAAACTATGAAGAAAGCAGTCTTCTGGGATGTGGCACCGTGTAGATGTGGTGTTAACCGACGTTACGGAAGAACGTATCGCCTCCATCCTCAAATCTTACAAATTCAATCTAGTTCATTGGCGGTGTTCACTATTGACAACAGCTGCAATAAAGTGGCTCTGTGAATAAGTGTTGTGTGTGTAGTATCGAGAGTTCCCCTTCACCCACCTGAGCGAGGCCCAGTTAAACGACCTTAGACCGATTCTTAGCTCTACCACTTGAACTAGCACCTCACCAACAGCATCCCCTTATAAATCATCCCTTCTTTCTTTCATAAAATTTGTAAACGAATTCCATAAGTTTACTGGCGCCCAATCCTCTACCCATTTACTTGACAACGAGAAGAGGTGGTGGCAAAAAGGATGAGCGAGGAGAAACAAGCAGGCTGTAGCCGCAACCTACCAGCAGCAGTAGCCAGCAATAGAGACGTGGCTCGACGGTTACAAGGGGGCAAAAGTAGTCCCAAGTTTAAAAGTAGCAGCCATGCAATTAAGCAGTTAAATAAAGTGTTGTGTTGTAAAGTTTGTTGCGGGCTTTGTTTGACCGCCTTCTTTGAAGCCAAGGCCCAATTAACGGCCCAAGAGATAGTCCCCGACTGGCGTGGCGCTCAAAGTAACTACACAGGTGAGGCTAAATCATCACCGGCTTCCACAGAATTGCAA